TATATATATATATATATTTTTTTTTAAATGGAAGAGTTTATTGAAACTTTAGACAAAATCTAAAAAAAAAAAAAGTCTGCATTTGTGTTTTGTATCTGTACCATAACTGTTACATCGGGCTTTCATGGCTCATGTAGTCTGATATAGTGAGAATATGGAAGAAAAAAGAGACTGAAACTGAGAAAAAATATGCAATTTGGTGCAGATGCTGATATTCATATGCACAAAAAGTGACGCAATTCTGATGCTTGTAATGTAAATCAATGAGATCTTTATAACAGTACAGCAGATACTTACATAAAATGCTATAAATATAAATAAATATCTCCAATAATGTGTCTTAGTAAGATGAGATTTAAAAGATCCAAACATATAATGCAATGCAATCCAATGATGATCGAGAGATGAACAAATAAACGCTCCTCAAAAGCCTGAAGATCAGATTTGAGACTCACATTTGAACAGGATCTTATGGAGAATCAAGTAAAGCTGAGTTGCTTCAGTTCAGTAAGTGTTCATCTGGAAATATTACTAAGGTTATTCTTATGTTTACTTGATAAAAATCAGTCAAGGTTTGACGGCAGAAAGACACGTGAAGCACGAGCTGAAGGTGTACGTTTGTACAGTTACACTAACAGAGCTTTGACTGGATAAAACACTCTAAACGATCAATCAGAAGGCATGGAGGAGATTGTGTGTGAAACAGGTTCAATCATTAGAGGCCTTGTTAGATACAGTCGGGTTTATAGGGTTAATCTAATTGCTGTCAAGGAGAAACAATCTCATTTGTGATTTTTCTTGCAGTTTTACAGTTCGTCTGTTACAGACACACTCTTCAGTTATTTCTTTTGTTAAGAGAGAAACTCTTCTGTCGTTGTTTTGCATTGAGTCATGTGACGGAATCTAAATCCAGCCTTCATTTGCATGTTACCATGGGAAGTGATGTGACTCATGCACCTCGACAACAGTCTCTCACAATCATCCCAGAATCGTCCTCAAAACCTCAGATGTCTTCACACTCAACGCTCTTATGAAGTGGCTCAAATGATGCACGATGCTCGAGTCTTCAGGAACATACAAAAGGCATCACTCTGGATAAAAGCATCTGATAAACACATACAGTGAATGCAAGCATTTTGCTAAGCTGCTTAAAAATATGAATGTTTCCAGCTAAAACTCTGCCATTTTCTTCGGATTAGTTCATGCATTGCAGCTTTCTAGCTCTAGGAAAATGTTGAAAACTAAAACTCCAAAAACCCAAATCACTAACCATATTAGTTTATGATATATGTGTCCTCTTCACACTGCTGGGAAGCTTATTCAGCAGTTACACCTCACTTCCTGTCTGTACAGTGGGGTCATGGAAGGTCGGCTCACATATTTCCTCCAGGCCTCTGATTCCTCCCAAGCTTGGCTCCCTCTCTGAGCTTCCTGATGTTCCCCATTATCTTTTAGTTTGCTCATGTGAGTCCTTCTCCCAGGAAGCCTTTCAGAGACTCTTCGTATGGCAAAAACAGCAGCGCTAAACAGAGAGGAAGAGAGTTTCATGACCACAGACAAAAGTGGCTTTCTGTGCGTGCAAAACAAATAAATAAATACAAATAAAATATAATGCAATGAATAAACAACAAACAAATAAAAAAGCAATTATTATGAATAAATAAATTAATTCAAAAAGTATAATATAAAAAGCAATAAAATAAAAAAAGACATAAAAATAAATACATGAATTAATTAAAAATAAAAATACATGAATAAAAATAAAAGTAAATAAAAAAAAAAAATAATAAAAATTACTGAACTAAATTATAAAGTGTTTCTTTATTTGTCTACTAATATTATAATTTCAACCATATCTCAAATTACAAATTGTGATTAATAGCATTCTGTGATGGAAATTACATTTGAACATTCTTGGAATAAATTAGTTGAATTTCCTTCTATACTAAGGCTGCTTATTATCACCCAATTAAATAATATTTTCAAACTTCTTGCGTATTTAACCCAGCATTTTTTAGAGTGTAAAAAGCAATAAAATAAAAAAATAAATACATTAATTAATTAAAAATAAAAATACATAAATAAAAATACAATTAATTAAAAATAAAAGAAATAAAATTTAAAAAATACATAAATAAAAAATAATTAATTACTGAAATATATAAATAAATAAACATTATAAAGTGTTTTTTTATTTGTCTACTAATAATATAATTTCAACCATATCTCAAATTACAAATTGTGATTAATAGCATTCTGTGAGTAAATTACATCTGAACATTTCTATATGTTTTTTTCTGTATATTTGTCCTTCTGTGGGGATCAAAGTTCGACTTGACTTCCTAGTAAGATGACGTGAGGATATCAGCCTGAGCCCAAGGAACTCAATGCTAACGCGTTCACAGCTTTAAAGGAAAATGAAAACCGTGCCATCCTTTACCGACCTTCTTTTTTTAGTGAAACACAACATGAGATGTTTTGTAGACTGTCTGAGGCCACTGGAGGTGTTGAACTCCAAAAATGGACATTACAAGTAGTCCATACACTCTAAAAAATTAATGGGTTGAATTTAACCCAGTGCTGGGTAAAATAGGGACAAACCCAGCAATTGGGTTGTTTTGACCCAGCGGTTGGGTTACTACCCAGAAGGTTGTGTTAAACATTTAACCCAACCGCTGGGTTAAACCAACCCAATTGCTGGGTTTGTCCCTATTTTAGCCAGCACTGGGTTATAGTTAACCCAGCATTTTTTAGAGTGTACAACTATTTATATTCCAGATCTTATATGGGAATCAGATCTTGAGTAATGGGCCTTCAAAACCAAGAAAGAGAGAACGAGAGTTCAAAATAAACTTTTGGTTACACCTGTCAATGATAACTGAATTGAGAAAATTGACCAACCACTGATATTTTCTCACTGGTCATTAAACTGGCATAATATTGCATTATTCTTATTTATATACAGGGGTAGGACAAAATAATGTGAACAGCCATTATTATAGAGGTTAATGTCATTTTTGCAGGCTACAGTGAAAGCATAAACATTGTGATTATCTTTTTTCTATTCGTTGTCTCTCTATTTTTTATCATGATTATGTACCTGCTTTCCTTTCATATTTTATCTCTGTCTCAGATTCGCCAGGATGCGGTTCCTCATATTTCGCTTAAATCTTTAATTATTGTGTAAGCTAGGTGTTTTTGAATGAATTATTGGCTTGACTCAAAGAATGTTTACTGTTTTCGTATGTTTATGCGCTCTACTATTCAAAAGTTTGGGGTTTTTGAAAGAATTCTCTTCTGCTCACCAAAGCTGCTCGTATTTAATCAAAAATACAGTAAAAAGAGTAAAACTGTGAAATATTATTACAATTTCAAACAGCTGTTTTCAATGTGAATCTCTGTTAAACTGTAATGTATTTCTGTGATGCGCAGCTGTATTTTCAGCATCATTCCTCCAGTCTTCAGTGTCACATGATCTTCAGAAATCAGTATAATATGCTGATCTGCTTTTTTCTTAGTAATTCTTATGCAAGAAAAGATAAAGACACAAGTAGGCCTATATATAAGTTAAACGTAACAAATATGCCACAATATAAAATAATTTGCATTTGTGGCTGTTGATAAGTGAACAGATGTGGTTTTGGTTCCCCATTCCTAAAATAACATTTGCATCCTTCACCTCAGCCATTTTTTTCAATATTTTGTATCGTTTTATTTTCATCTTTCAGCCATTGTATTTTTTATTAGTGTTGGCGATGTGATCAAACCTCTAACTATGAGCAATGGCCATTTTTGTTAATTTGTTAAAATATAAATATTAGATGAAAAACTACAACTAAAGTAAATAAACTAAACTAAAATGATTAACTAAATAAAAAATGTAATTACATGTATTTAATAAGTAAATGAAATAAAAACTAAAACTAAATGAAATAATTTGCCAAGTCAGCATTGCTAAAATTAAATTAAATAAAATATAAAATACAATTTACTTACTAACTAAATTACATAAAAAGCAAAACTGAACTACAGCTAAAACTATGAGCAATAGTGATGGTGAAAGCAGGGTTATAATTGTAAACTAAAACTATTAAAAACATTTTTGTTAATTTGTTAAAATATGAATAGTTGAGTTGCCTTGTGAAATAAGTTTCCAAGGCAACATTGCTAAAATTACTAATTAATAATTAAATAATAATTTAATAAAATGTATTGACTAAATAAATAAAATAAAAACTAAATCTGAACTCTAACTATAAGTAATAGTGATAGTGAGAGCGTGGTTATTATTGCTAACTAAAAGAAAAACTATTAAAAACATGTTTTTAAAATATAAATGTTAGCTAAAAACTAAAATTAAACAAAAAAGCTGTAAACAAACTGAAAAAGGTTGCCAAGGCAACACTGCTAAAATTAAAGAAAAAAAAGTACAATTTATTTAATAAAAGTAAAACTATTAAAAACATTTATTATTTTAAAAAATATATAAATATTACATGAAAAACAACATCTAAACAAAAATTGTTGCCAAGGCAACATTGCTAAAATGAAATGAACAATAAAGTTACATTTATTTACTAACTAAATGAAATAAATAAAACTGAACTAAAACTAAAACTGTGAGCAATAGAAATAGTGATGTTTGATATTTCGGCTCAAACTGTGGTTATGGTTTTCTGACGTGTTGCAGGTATTATCGTGGCGCGGTCGGCGCGCTGCTGGTGTACGACATCGCCAAACATCTGACCTATGAGAACGTGGAGCGCTGGCTGAAGGAGCTGCGAGATCACGCCGACAACAACATCGTCATCATGCTGGTGGGAAACAAGAGCGACCTGCGCCACCTGAGAGCCGTTCCCACCGACGAGGCGCGCGCTTTCGCAGGTACAGCCGACACTAGAGACATCGCACGACAGTCCGCTGAAGAGCTGAGGAGGAAAACTGCTGCTCCTTTTGTTTGTCTGATTTATGTAGGCATAATGCAAAGCTGTGGAGAATTACAGAGTATTTGGTAACACTTTACTTGAAGGGGTGTGCATAAGACTGACATGGCACCTTCATAATCATGACATGACACATTTTATGCATGTTTATGACAAATGTCATTAAGTGTCATTCGCTCAGTTATGTCATTTTTAATGCAAATATGACATTATGTGACCTAACCCTAACCTAACCCTACCCTTACCCCTAACCATAGCCCATAACAAAGACATCTCAAACAATGTCATCTTTGCATTAAAAATTACATAACTGAGCGAATGACACTTAATGACAGTTGTCATAAACATGCATAAAAAAACCCTTCATATTCATGACATGTGTCATGTCATGATTATGAAGGTGTCATGTCAGTCTTATGCACACCCCTTCAAGTAAAGTGTTACCAAGTATTTTAGACCATTAAAGGAATAGTTCAACCAAAAAATGAAAACTAAAACATCCTCACCCTCAGGCCATCCAAGATGTAGATGAGTTTGTTTCTTCATCAGATTTGGAGAAATGCAGCATTGCATCAGTGTCTCAGCAATGGATGCTCTGCAGTGAATGGGTGCCGTCAGAGTGAGAGTCCAAACAGCTGATAAAAACATCACAATAATCCACAAGTAATCCACAGCACTCCAGTCCATCAGTTAATGTCTTGAGAAGAAAAAAGAAACAAATCCTTCAAGGCGTTTTTAACTTTAAACCGTTGCTTCCAGCTAAAATACTGGTCCATAAAAGTCCATAAAAAAAGTCCATAATCCATAATAATGCTTCCTCCAGTGAAAAAGTGGTC